GTTTTTTTTTTCATTTTTTAATTTCCATTTTTTTTTTTTTTTTAAAAATTTAAAAAAAAAAAAATGTTTGTTTTGGGAAAAAAAAAAAAAAAAAAAAAAAAAAAAAAAAAAAAAATTCCTGGGCTAAACGACGATTTTCCCATACTAACCAATGGTTAATGAATCAATGTTGACATGGAAAGTGTTTTTTTGTTTTGTTTTGTTTTAATCTCTTTGGAGATTATAACGGAGATATAGCCATGTATTAAGGGCCACGAGGTCTGATGGAAAGCACAGATTTCAGAATAATTGCGATAACAACTCTTATGGTGATAAAATGGAATTTATTATATTTGCTGTTTGTGAGTTGTTTACAATGTGTTTATTGCGAAATATGAATCTCACACGAACAGTTGTTACCCACTTCATTATATTCTTTGCTTGTCTTCTAGATATAAGGTTAGCCAATGGTGGATCTCACTACAGAGGGCGCCTTGAGATACGTCATCGACATCGGTGGGGGAGCATTTGCGATCATAAATTTGGCGTCGAAGAATCGAAAGTCGCCTGTCGGGAACTTCGGCTTCCTTACGAAGAGCCGATCGTGAAAAGGGGAGCCCATTTTGGTGAGGGTACTGGAATTATTTGGCTGGATGACGTGGTTTGTGATGGAACTGAATCCAGCCTAACGCAGTGCAGACACTTAGGTTGGGGAGTCCATTCCTGTACTCACGCTCAAGATGTCGGGCTGATTTGTCAGTGACGCTCATCACTTTCGAACAGTCGTATGTTCAATTGCAATCAGCAAAATACAGTTCACTGCCTCGCGATAAATTTGGTGCAAATACCGAATTTCAGATGTAAATTTGTTTTGACTTGATTTAATATGCAGTATTATCTTCTGAAAAAGTTGAGTAGTGTCGCCGTTAAATATTCACCTGGGATATACATGACTACGGGTTGAAAGAAGACAGCCCACTTTACTTTATTCTATTACATAAATTTGCAAAAAAAAAATGTATGTGACTATTAGATATAACCATTTTTGCTATGTTCAGGTCCTCATATTATTTTTTTCAAATTATAAATGAAAGCACATAAATTTGCAAAAAAAAATGTATGTGACTATTAGATATTACCATTTTTGCTATGTTCAGGTCCTCATATTATTTTTTTCAAATTATAAATGAAAGCACGGTAAAAATAAATGCCACAACAATCTTTGTTTTCAATTAGCTGCCATTAAAACATTAATTTGTTTCTTCTTTTTAAAAAAATCCATGCACATACAGATGAGAAAACTAACAACACTTGGTTGTCACACGTGAAGCAAAGCTGCATTTCCATCGTTACATTCACAAATGTATTAACTATAAATAATAAAAAACAATTACTGAAATAAATGCATATCGGAGTGTTCTTTATAGGTACCACTATACAACATTTGAGATCTTCATCTATATGAAAAACAATTTATCAAGTGTGACTGGATGTTACGAGGACATCATTCATCAAATGGTACCAAAAGATGAAAGGCAGCTAAAATCTACCATCTAAACAAAGCTAGGTTGAACTCCATTGCAGCACCCCATATATCTAATATATAAGGTTTACCAATTGAAGAAACTAGAATGCTGCTGATTTTATATCAGTTATTGTTGGTTGACCCTAATTTCTTTAAATAAATAAATCCCAATTAATGGAACATAGGGTATTTTCCTTAAAGGTGCCACACACGTTTGGACTGTCATGGCCCCTTTTCTGTCTTGGAGCCTCACTATGGCATGTGTAAATCTTTCTCCCATATCTATCACAGCTGTAAATGAAGACAGTATTCTGTCGCATGACTGTCCAACTACCATTCGAAATCATCGTCAGAAAATCCACCAATACTGAAATATGTTATAACATAAAATAAATATGTGATAAAATACTGGAATATGGTATAACATACAATAAACATGTGATCAGGAAATATATGGTATTAAAAACAAGTGTATGTAAGTATTTGGAAATGTTGTTGTAAAATAACCTTCATTTTACAGATATCACAATATTACTTAGTCAACAAAAATGAAAAATTTTTCCTTCTTGTCTGTATGACAGAAACCTGCAAGACCATCATTTGAAGTGTCTGTATTTGGTCTGAGAAAAGTTTTTTTATTTATCCAAGAGGATAATTGGTTTCAGTAAAATCAAATTTCAAATTTTTAGCCAAATTATAACAAATGAATTAAATTAATTTCTTTAAAGAAAATAAAAAGGATCAAAATAAGTGATAAAATAAATAAAAAAGGAGAACAGATGTTGAAAAAAAAAAATTAAAATTCCGTCCTTTACAAGTTTTTAGTATCCTTAGCCCAGGTTGAAAACTGAGCCTATTTTGGTGCATCTCCTTTCTTGAATTTTGCCGATAAATAAATAAATTGAAAATTAATAAATTATAAGTTAAATCATCAGCCAAAAGAGCTGCCATACAATTAACCTACCTCTTCTCTTCATCTGCTACTGAGAGCTCATGTTCTGACTGTGACTTTTCCTGAATAAAAGAATGAGGCTTGCATTAATATAAATTCAAAGTGAAATTCAATCTCTTAGTTATGTTGGTACACATAAACATAAACAAAATAATAAGAAAAGAAATCAATCAAAATATTGACACTGTGACTTCAAATGATATTTACTGAAATAAACTTCACAAAGTTGCAACTGACCAGATGCAGAAGAAATTCTTTGCCACCTAAAATATATCACTTGCATTATTCACATCTTCTAGAATTCAGTGAAAANCTATCGACGGCATATTGAAAAATAAACTGCACCATGGCCCAGAGGAAGCGGCGCGTGCGTCTTTTACCAGGCTCCAAAAATGCGAGATCTTCACACCCCATGCCAATGTCGTATTTTACTTGGTCTCAATTAAAATGCTTAATCGACACGGACCGCGGCGATTGCGTTTTGTTTCTATTGATATTTGGTATTTAAAATGATCATCTCTTGCAATACAAAATTGACATGGCGCTATATCAAATGAACAAATCTCTATAAATGTATTATTGTTAACGACTGAATGCACTATGTTCTATAAAGAATGGCAGATCTACATAAAATATATACGTTTCAGGTCCTTCAGGTCCGAAAGGGGAACCAGGTGCACCCGGACTGTCAGGACTCAATGGCCTGAAGGGTGAACCCGGCGAACCAGGTCCAAAGGGCGTGGCTGGGCTCCCTGGTTTAGATGGTCTGAAAGGCGATAAGGGGGGCGCTGGACCGAGAGGCGTGGCTGGGATAAAGGGAGAACAAGGTTTATCTGGGCGGTCAGCACAGCAGGGAATAAGAGGTCCCCCTGGACGGCCAGGGGCTAAGGGGGAGAAAGGTTCCCCTGGAGCGCAGGGCCCCAAAGGAGAGATGGGTTTATCTGGGCTCAATGGACCGAAAGGAACTAAAGGCGACTCTGATATTCGTCTTGTTAAGGGAGAGAAAGGTTCCCAGGGAGTGCAGGGCCCCAAAGGAGAGATGGGTTTGCCAGGGCCAGCGGGACAGAAAGGATCTAAAGGCGACTCTAAAACTCGTCTTGTAAAGGGCGAAAAGGGTTCTCAAGGGGCGCAGGGGCCTAAAGGAGACACGGGCTTGCCTGGGTCAAGGGGACAAAAGGGACCCAAGGGTGACTGTAGCGCCCTGCTGCATGTCGGATCAAATATCACCGCAAACGAAAACGGCGGGAATATATTCGAATTGAAAGACTTAAACCACGAGCAGCACGCCAGTGTGAAGAGTGAGTTTATTCTTCAGCTGATTGTAAAATGCCTTGATTAAACGTAAACGTGTGTTCTGTCCATCTATTATGTTTTCTATCGTTATCGTTTTTTGTACGATTTTTTAGAGATAAGAACTGTTCGCTTTGGCAAAAAAAAAAAAAAAAAAAAAAAAA